ATAACATCACTTTCTGATCACAAAGAACTATTCATGCTAAATCATAAGTTTATATACAGTACTTTAAATAAATTCTAATACTAGTTCTTAAGATACAAATTTTTCGAATAAATTTCATTGTTTAAAATTAATTAATTAATTAATTTAACGAATTTTAATTGATGGACTATTAATAGAATTCTCATATATACGGTGGAAATGGATATGTATTTTGAATAAGAATGACGTACAAAAAAAATTCAACTAAATGAAGTGCAAATTTTCCTGTCCAAAAATATAGTTCAGATATCATTGTTCATCGTGGTTTACAAACAATTTTACAAAAACGTTTCTCAGAGTTCTCTTAATGCTGTCTCACGTAATGAGTGACTTGGCTCCAACGAGCACATATTTTCTTTTACGATGCCTAAATATAATCTTAACGATGTCCTTATGGCCTAGAGTAAGTAACTCCAGTAAGAAATTCAAATTTGCAAAAGCTTAATTTCACATATATTATCTTACGCAATTTCATTAAATTCAAATTGTCGCGCAATTTCTTTTTTTAAAATTCATCTCAAAATATATTACCCGCATTTCCTTTTTTTTTATTTACAATTATTAATTATTTACTATTATTTTTCTATTTTTTATTTAATTTTTCATTTTTATTCAAACTTTTCAGTTTATAAATCCAGTGTTTTTTTTTTCAAGCATTTTTTCACACCTATTAAGATCAGAGATCGAAGTCACGTACGCGTAAGTTGGCTATCGATAGTCTATAAAACGATCGTCGCGCGCGAGTGTCAGTGTCGACTGCTGGTCGATTTTCTATAGAAAACTCGTGTAACAACTTTCGATTGATGGCTTTACGGCTATTATATATGCAATCTTCATATCTTTCACAAGTCTTATGTCAATCATTTATTTAACTTCATAAACCTCATGTATGAAAATAAAATTTATTTGATTTAAACAAATTTTAACCCTCTAAATGTAATATTAAATTGTAATAAAACTCATCAAACATTGACAATACAAAAAAGAATGAAAGAATAAATAAGTATACCGTTAAAAAAAAAAAAAAATTTCTAACGGACAAAAAATAATTATACCATTACATGTAAAAATTCTAATGAGAAATATGATAATTTAAAAAAAACTTTAGATAGAAAATAAATTTCAATTATAATTTCAGATACAATCATTCAAATTAACACCGCATAATTTTCTTCATTATTCAAAAAAATATTTTTTTAACATACAATAATTATATTAATATACTGTGTGTGTGTGTATGTGTTTGCATTTGAATAACAAAACTTTTTTTATCAGATAAAAGTCCTATTTTCTAATAGCATTTCTGCCTTTAGAAATTATGATTTCTCTCACAATCTATTTTTGATTCTTTATGGAGATTTGCGAATGACGTTTGTTGGTGGCAACGTCACTAAAAAAAGAAAAAAAAATAAAATAAAAAAAAAACGCTTATTGCATCACGCCAAAGGACAATTAAGCTTACAAACGAAGCAACCAAACTAATCGTCATCCCCCCGAGCTATCGTGACACCCCCTTGTGTCCTTGCAATCGGGGGCTGTAAACCTGTCATTATCCTGATTATTATTCCCGGCTGCTTAATCACAAGCTGTCGTTCGTGTCATTGTTTCCTGAAATTATTATTTCTTTCACTTCGCTCTCTTTCGCGCGCGCTCGCCCCCCGTTTAATTCGAGGCGCTAGGGGCCATTATAAGAAGGGAAGAAATTAAACTTTAGATATACAGTGCGGGGTCAAACCGAAATATTTATTTCAATTGAACTTTATCCGATTTGGAAGTAGAGAAACAAATTTCAGAAAATGTATAAATGAGGTGCGAAATTTTTAAATTATATAGAACTTTGAAATTTATTTTTATTAATTTGATAGAATTTATCCAAATTAATAATAAATCGGAAAAACTCCAATTTGGCAAAAGCGCAAATTAATCGAACATTTTTCTTTTTCAAGAAAATACATACAAAAGAGAAGCCAAATGAGAAATTTTATCTCACACAAATATCATCGTATTGAATAAATGAAAACTTTTAATCTTGCCAATATAATTTGGTTAAACACCAAAATTTTCAAATACTAACAAAAATGTTGGCATTTGCAATTATACAAATATTGTCAATTTATATATATATATCTACAATAACTGACAAAAGAATTTAAAATCGGAAATTTCTGCCCAAAGAAATGGCAAATATTTAATGTTTGAATTAATAAATTCCCTTTTTTACAAAAACAACTCTCTAAATCTGAATTAGTAAAAATGTTTACTAATTTGAATTAGTGACTCACTTTTTGATTCTGAATTAGTTAAATTTTACTAATTGTTAGTAAAAAAATACTAATAATTAGTAAAATTTTACTAATTCAGAAGCAAAAATTGAGTCACTAATTCAAATTAGTAAACATTTTTACTAATTCAGATATAGAGAGAATTACTTTGGTAACGCCACAAAAATTGATTTTAAAATTGGACCAAGAAAAAATATATTTGTACCACAAAAAGCAAGACGGGTAAAATTAATTAAATTCTATACGGAGACTTTAAAATAGTCATAAAAATGAAATCTGGAGATAAGTGACATTTGGATCAAAGGTGTCAGAATAGAAGGTTTTTGATGATGAGAAGGAACGAGACGACTTGACGAATCCGTATAAGTGTGAGAGAGAGAGAAGGGGGTATAGGGGACGATCTACCGCAGAATATATAAAATAGCGTGGCGTGCCGGTTAGACTATATGCTCTAATTTTAGGCGATTGCCTCGCTCCCTCACCAAGGATTATAATTAGATACAGAAATACCCGACAGCCACCCACTCTACACTCACCATCAAAAAAGCTATATACGCAAAACACACGGCACTAACACAAATTATATGCGAGCGCAATATTCGTTAGAACGCGAGAGAGATTGTTCGCATTACCCCGGCAGAATTCTAATACACACCCGCAATTCTCCGGGCGAGGCTAATTTTAAAGGGAGTACGACATCTTGAAATCTTGGCCATCTCAAGTGTCATCGAGTCCAATTGGCCTTCGATTCCAAAAGGATATTTTACAATTTCAATGTCAAATATGAAAAAAAAAATTATATTAGTCGAATCTACACAAAGAGACAAAAAATTACTTTATATTATCAATTTTCCAATTAAAAAGAAAAGAAAAAAAAAATTCAATTTACTTGAAAAGAAAATCTAATAGAATTTACTTGCTATTACTTTCGTCTTTCATTCAATTCATGTGACATACAAAGCCACCGACTATCGACTGACTGCCACACGTTAATTTGTCGTGTGTAGGGGGGAAACAAGTGGCCCACATATATTCCAAAAAAAAACGTTTGCAAAATAGGGGAGTTTCGATCAAAGTCAAAATTAAGCTTTTAAGAAACAAAAGATTAACGTTAATTTTTAATTTAACCATCATAAAATTAAAATCTCACTCATTAAAATAAGCGTTGCAGCTTATTTTAATACCTTATAATTTTCTGTGACTATATTTATCTATAGGAAATTTTTTATTTCGACAAAAATTATTTGAGAAAAAATTCCAAACAATAGTTTTACAATTTAGTAATTAAAATTAATTTTTATAATATATTAAATATTAATATAAACAAAATCAGCGTTTTTAAAAAAAAAATTTATACAAAAAACAAAATATAAATTTTTCTGACATACTTTTTTTTAAGTTTGTCTGAATAATTAATTGGCCGCCGAATGAAATCATGGTTTGTGCGAACGAGCGATGAGGCAGCTGTTAGTACCCTCTATTCCCCCTGTCAGACGTATTCTAGTCTAATATATATAGAAGGATAGAAAGAGACAGAGCCTTTTAGGTGGGGGGAGGGGGGTCGTCAAAATTTCGGGGGTAGCAACCCCCTAATTCCGTAGAGGTAATTATTATACGAACCAATCGATACTTCGATGAGAAAAGAAAAAAAAAAAAAAAAAAAAAAAAAAAACACTCGGAACTCTAGACGAGTCGACTGTTTTAACCGTTCGCGCCTTTCTGTTCATTTCAATGCGACGCATCCCGACGTCTTTGGGGTTGCACGCACTCGTAAATTCGTTAGTCAAAGAGAAACCCCTAACACACACACACACGCATTTTCACTTTGAGGGAAGAAATCAAATATTTCTGTGAGACGATTATCACTAGAGAGTGAAAATCCTAAGTCCTTGTATCAAGGATTTATCTATGGATCAACGTATTTTGGCCATACAAAATATTTCGATTCGAAACTTCATATACATTTAAGGGGTGTATAGAGTCTTTAATACTAGTCGGTTCAATTAAAAAAAAAAACCACGGCAAAAAAAGTAGAAGATATTATTTCTTCAATGTAAATTATTTTTACGTATGAAAAAAAAGATTTATCCGAGAAAGCTACTTTTTTATACTAAAGTAGGGAAATATTTTTCTAAAACAGCAAAAATTATTCCTGTTTTTATCACTATTATTTTACATCCTGAAAAAAGTAATCTCATATTTAGAGGAAAAATCCTCTTCTAATATCCTCTCAATTTTTCCTCTTAAAACAAAAGGATTCCACTTGAATGTAGAATATTTTTATTCTTTGGTGACTAATAATAAAACAAAACAATTTTTTTGAGGTTCTGATGTCAAAAACATTGAATTAAAGTTAAATAAATAAACAAATCTATTAATTAATGTAAATAACTATAAATCATTAATTATATTTAATATTTAATTAAAGATATTTAATTTAGTACATGATAATAGCTTTTCTTTATCAGTTTATAACCATAATTGTCAAATTATATGCTAGAGGAAAATCCTCTCAAGTGAAGACTATTACTTTTAATACAATATATAAGAGGAAAATATGCATCAAATTAAGAGGAATTCGCTAGAATCAAGATTACTTTTTTTAGGGTGTATAGTTAATTTAGCTCTCGCAAATAAATCTTTTTTTTTTTAAATAAAATTTTTAAATAATTTAAAAACTCACTTTTTGTTGCTGTATATAGTCGCAGTAGATATGTTGAATTGCTATCCTCTGTAAAAAAAAACCAAATTTTTATTATATTGAATTTCAGATTCATTGAAAATAATATGTTAATTTTTTCTAATCTTAAATCTAAATAGCAAATAAATATTCCGTTTCTAATTAATTAAGAAACAACTTTCAGGAACAATTTAAAATTTTTCGGAATCAATACAATATATATATATATATATAAGACGTGGAATTTCGAGCCTCACGCAAACGGGCGTTATATACCAAGAATCACCCCTCAAGGAATTCCATTTATCGACATTGACAAAACTCAGAAAAAGGGAAGGAAAAAGTTTCCTTTCCTCATAGCAAAAAAAAGAAAAAAAAAATTCAATGCAATAGTATAGTAGACATATGGATTAGCACCCCTTAGTTTTTGTTCTGTTTGCATCTGTTTACTCATTACAAACACACACATACACATAGACAAAAATCGAGATTAAATTCACATCAACGAACAATTCAAAAAGAATTAAAAATATTTATCATTAATAAACAATATCTTAAATTTTTTTAATTTAAATATATTTTTTAAATTCATGAAGAATAAAAAAAACATTTTAAATTAGCCTCGAAAAAGACATTATATCCTTGAAAAGTTTTGCGATATATATATATATATATATATATATTCTTTTACGTACGGTCCCACAGACGTAGTGAATGATTGCTGGTTAAAAAATCAGCCAAGTGTGACAGGAGCCGTTTCTGTGGTCGCAATCGCACAGTGGAGGAGGACACCAAGTAGAATAGGAATCATGGTCTCTAATTTTTACGGTGCACCGTATCGTATATGGTCCGGCTATATTTACAAGTGTAGCCGGTCATTAAATCCGATAATTAATCACAATCGTCTCTATTAACGGGTGGGTTAATTGCTGTTATCCGCGCTTTCAGTCCGCTAAAGAGGGAGGCAAGAAAGTGACCGCATATAGCAGGATGTCACAGAAGAATGAGACGGTTACATTCCCCCTCCCCCAAATTCTTCTCTCTCACATATATACGTATTTTCGTTTCCTTTGTACAATATATCGTTCATGAAAACCTGTATACAGTTAATAAATAATTACATAAAAAAACACTGTAAAAAGAAGGTACTAAATCAGTACCGATTTTAGGTATCAAAATAGAACCAAATAACAATTTAGTACCTAAAGTTGGTATTAAATTAATACCTTTCGTTTTACAGTGAAACTGCGATTATGTAACATATTGTTTTTAATCAATTCGAAAATAAGAAATTATTAAATAAATTTTCTCAGAAATTAATTTAGTATTTTTTTTTTCAAAAATAGTGAATTTGAAAATTTTCTTCCCAAACGAAACTCTCGACAAGTGTTGAAAAAACCTAGAAAGAGGTGTGTATATATATAGAGAGAGAAAGAGTAATATGTAGCTGAAAACCAACACATTGGCAATTTCATTGTGAGATACTTAAACCCTCTCACCAAGACATATAAAAATCTAGCACTTTTCTTTATACATATATATATATACGTATATAAAGAAGGAAAGCTTATATGTACGGAGTGGTACACAGCCATCTACTTACTTTAGTGGTCAGCGCGCGGAAGAAAAGAATTAGCTAGACGGGGCGCGTCTCATCTAGGTCACCCACACGCGTTTCCGGTTATCCAGTATGTATAAGCGCTCCTTGTGCCACTCACACATGGAAAGACCCTCATTACGCCGAGTGGTGGCAAGGGGGTTGAAGCACAAGAGGCGAGCGTTAATTAAGAACAGACTCGCCACCCCCTAAGTAAGGAGCACTGACCAACCGACCCCTCCCACCTCCATCTTTGGTCGCCCTCGGTCGCCTCAGCCGCCGCAAACACCACTATGACCTCGCACCCTCCGACGCTCAACCTCGAGAGTAGAAAGAAAGAAAGAAAGAAAGTAAAAGAGCGAGAGAGAGATAAAAGAAAAAGAGTTGGAAAAAGAGAGAGCGAGTGAGGCGGATGGATATATACCCAGTCTTCTGAAAATCGAGAGAAAGAAGGAAAAAGAAAATTAGCTAAGACCTGGTAATATGCTGTATTGGACGACGACAGTCGCCAACTGAAATGAAAGCCTCTGCTTAAGTTTTCCTATTGGTCGATCGCAAGGAGATATCCGATAATGAAACGAATCGGTTCGACCTTTTGAATTTTTACGATGGACTTGCATTTATCCCGAGTATATATCAATTTTATTTTTATATTTTCTTTTCAAATTCCTTTTTTCTGTCATTTTATATATAAAAGTCCCTTTTTTAAAAACTATTTTTTATCCACATACCTAAAATTATTTCTTTCTTTCTTGTATTGAAGAAGTATTGTGTATTGAAGTATTCTTTTAGTGATACTATTAAAGAATTTTTCTAATTATTTTCTAAAAAAAAAAATCTATTTGCAAAATACTAGCGAGCATCATGAAAAAGACAGTACACGAGTGTATGGCCTTTATTGCGTGACTTAATCAAAGTAATCACATACCGACGCGGCGAACGGTCGATATTATAAGCATGCACGCGGTTACAAGTTTTCATGTATACTCTCTATAATACTTGAAAATATGTAATTCAATGGCTTGAAAGTGCGTGCGATTAAATGCAAGTGTATATAGTGTCGCGAGTGCACTCATATACTCGAAAAATGAACTCTGAGAGCAACTCTCCCCCATTTCCTCTGCAAGTTCATATATATATATATATACGTATTGCGAGGGTGAAGCCAAAAATAACTGCATATCGTATTGCCTACTCATAAAAGCAAGAAGGGAAACCCATCATACTCTTACACATACTTTTGTTTTTTGATTCATATTACTCTCTCTCTTTCATTCACAAAATAATTCTTCTTTCTATAAATTTTTCTCTGTTTTTTATTTTTTCCCTAATAAATTTAAATTTCTACAATTCTAATTGTAAATAAACACAGAAAATTAAAAGGCATTAAAATAAGCTGCAACGCTTATTATTTTAATCTAATTTTGCTTATTTTAATACCAAAATGGATTAAAATAATAAGCGTTGCAGTTTATTTTAATGCCTTTTAATTTTCTGTGAATTAGAATGAATTATAAATTAGTTTATTTGATACAAATAAATGTTTATTTGATATAATAGTCAACAAAGCAAAAACAGATAAGAAGAACAAAATTATAATTATTACTCTAAGCATTATAACAAGAGGAAAACTATAAACAAAGAAAAAAAAAACGAAGTTTGTTAAACGATTGTAACAACACACTGAACAAATAAACCATAAGGTCTTTTGAGATTCAGAGTAATAATTCAAATACAGAAAAAGTATTATTATCCAGACTCTATTATTTGATTACTTGATAGAAATGCGGTTCTTTAAGATGATAATGCATCATCTTGAAAATTTTTCCTTCCCGAAGAAATTACACGATAGCAGTAAATTTAAACCCCATTAGGGATAAGAAGATTGCTATAGCAAGAAAATAAAAACCTAATTATGCAAAATACTTATTTACATTATGCAAGAGTTTTTTCTTTCAATATATATATATAAGAAAAAATGTAAATTTTTCAGTTAATTTTCATTCTTATTTGAATAATCAGTATATCATATTTAGTTTTTCAAAACATAATTTTTGAAAATTATTATTTCGCGAAACATGATCACATGGTGTGGCAAGAGCACACACATGTTACGATTGATGCACAATGGGTGTTATATACATATATATATATATATAGTATATATAAGAAAAAAAAGCCATCCAACTGTTCATCCCCCCAAGGGTAAAATGAAGCTGGTCCTATATGGCCAGGGGCGAGTCAATTGTTTCCAACAGGTTTGCAAGCTTTTGTTTCAGTCATAGTTCTCATGCACAACAGGACTGGTCAACTCTATTGCGCGCGCTTTGCCCTCTAAAATGTTTGAACAATGACCTTTTGAGCCGTTACATTTCACTGAAAGCTAACGACTCATTATCCATTATGCCGTTAAAAGGGATAATCAATAAAGTGTTATTTTTAAACCATTTCAGAGACGTGTGAATGGCAGCTGTTAAAATATAATTTAATCCCTCTTTATAAAAATATTTTCATTTAAAAAGTTCTTTTTAATCCAATAAAAAAAAAAAAAAAAATGTTTTTATTAAATAGTAATAAATTTTTACAAATGAATTTTAACATTTGCTTCTGTTTTTAAAAACATATTATATATTAAAAGAATGAGAACCTCTGAACTTGCGACACGATGGACAAATCCGCAAATTAAACAAACACCTTATTGACGCGCTGATCCTCAAACGGCCTTCGCGCAATAGCCCCTCTCTACGATGAGTGAAAGAATGGGATGAGAAAGCGATCTTCACCCTGGCAAATTTTCTACCAAGGGGTGAAAAGAGAAAAAGTATAGATATATATGTCCAGTAGGCATTTCTCTTTTACAACAAAAGAAAGAGAAGGAGAGAAAAAAAATAAAAGGGAAAGAGAGAGAGAAATAGGGAAGACAAGGGCGATCCCAATGAACGAACGGTGCCGCATGCCGGGTCTTAGCAAGACTTAACGAATATTGCCGTCAATATCCAGAGACTCTTTATCTTCTTTTTCTAATTTCTCTTTGTCTTTCGAGAGAAGCATGGCCATGGACTTTGCTCTCCAAATCTCCTTCTATAACTCATATCATCTCAATGACACCTCTTCTCTCTCTCCCTCACTATATTCGTTCAAAATTTCTTTATTAAACCTCCACCACTAATGAATAGAGACAATTTTTTTAAAAATCTACAATAGATGTAATAAAATTGAATCCACAAAAATCCTTCTTTTTTATGAGCTCTCTAAATCTAAATTAGTAAAAATGTTTACTAATTCAGAAGCAAAAAGTTACTAATTCAAATGAGTTAACATTTTTACTAATTCAGATTTAGAGAGAGTGACAAAAATGTGTCAAATGAAAGTAAATCGTCTATATAAGAAAATAATTTAGGAGATGAAATGACATTTAATTAATTTCATTTAAATTTTCCTAATTAGATATAAA